TGGTAGCTGGAGAGATTTTAGTCATTGAAACCTACTTGGTAGCTGGAGACATTTTAGTCATTGAAACCCAGCTATCACAGTAGCACTTGATTTTTTAACTATTGTTTTTTTTAATGAGGATGTTGTGCTCTTTTAACTATTGTTCTTGGGGTAGCATGTCCTTAAATGTTGTTATACCTAAATTGTATGCAATATATGTATATTCTTAAGCTTATAAAGATTATTTGGATACGGCCTTCTATTTTTTTAAATAATTCCTTTAACTTCTGATGAAATTTTGTATGCTAATGTTAACAAACTTACAACTTCTATTATCGACATATAAAAAGTAGTCAGTACAGGCAGTAGGGTGAAATGATGGCTGAATGTATTGGTATGGCTGCTAGAATTTGAGAACAAAATTATAACAAATAACACTTGCTCAGTTTGCTCTTTTCTTTTCTTTTCTTTTCTTTTGTTTAAAATGCTGTTGCTCTTTTCTTTTCTTTTCTTTTCTTTTCTTTTGTTTAAAATGCTGTACTAATTGATCTATCCGTTAGAACTCTTTCAAACTACTTTACAATTTATATTTCTAATTTTGTTGTTCCAGTACAATTTAACTAACATTGAGGGACTTCCTTGCATGCGATGGATGTGCCAGTACGCTTTTACATCCTGAGATAGTCATGCAGTAGGTCAATTGAAACTTGCTTTCTCTTCTAAATTTGACCACAATGACGTTGGGTGTTACTGCTGATCAATGTACTTTATTAATGGTTTCAACATTGTGGATGGTTTGAGTGGCTGTTTGACATGCCTGTCTGTATGTATAAACACATCGAGTTTGGATAGTTTTTTTAGATGCGTGGTCATCCCTATCTTGCAAGTCTTGTTGGCTTTATGGTTTAGACTTCGTTGAGTGCCAAACTCGAGCTTCTTTGTTTCCTGGAACCTGTAACATAATGGAGTTTCTGTTTGGTTTTCCTGAGCCTACTTGTCACAGAATTAGCAAAAAGGGGCAATCTGAGCCTAGTTGCTCTATAGGCATCTGAGTTTAGTGGTTCGTTGTCTTTTGCATTGTTGCAGTAAGATTTCCTAGTAGGAACTTCATTTTTCCGTTATTTCTCCTTGTATTTGAGTTTTTGTTGTGCCTTTTGGAGACTTTTTCATTGTACACTTCATGAACATAGCTGTTTAATGCGTGAAACAGGTATATTTTCTGTACGTAAGTTCTATTTTGGAAGATGAATATACAGCAAGTTGTGCAGCGTAGATCTACTTATGGATATTGAAAGAGATACAGCATCTAGGTTTGATACTAAGTTTCAGACTGGGAAAATATATTCTAGCAGAACAAATTTGTGTAGGAATTTACAATTTGCTCCACTATGCTTTTTACCAATATGTTATTTCCCTATTATAACTTAAACAATGTTAGGTAAAGAGGGACTTGAATCACGTTCTGGTGATCGTCTAGCATACGTAACTACATGCCTCATTGGACAACAAGTTGAAGTTCGGGTGCAGGATGGATCCGTTATTTCTGGATTATTTCATGCGACAAATGCAGAGGATTTTGGTATGTCGAATAATCGATGATGCTTGCTGCCATAGTTTTAAATGGCGAATGGCGAGGCGAGGCGATTCGCCCATAGGCTCGCCACGAGGCGAGGCAATTCGCCATGGCGAGGCCTCGCGAACACAAGCCATCAAAGCTTAAAAAAAATATATACATATATAGTAATATCATATAATTAAGTTTAAGTGCCAAAAATAATCTTAAATGTCCTAAAAAAAATAACATAAATTATATTTAGTTGTAATTACTAAAATCATCTAAAACTTAAATGTAAATACTAGTAATAAGGTAAATAAAAAGTGTAATGTAAAAGAAAACGAAAGAAAAGATGCTACACCCTGTCACCTTTGACTATTGACAATACTAGTAAACATAAATAAAGTAAAAAATTGACGAACGAATAAAAAGATTGGCGGCAGAAATGGGAACGAGAAAACAGAGAGAAAAGGGAGAAGGAAAAGGTACGCATCACCAACCGTCTTGGCAGCGGTGAGATGGTGGCCGGAGTTCAGAGGAGGCCAGAAATGGGATGGGTCGACCGTGGGTTTCTGCAATTTTCAAATCTAAGAAGCCTACGGAGTTCTTTCGCAGAAACCCTAGTTCTAGGTTGAGGAGAAGCCATTTAGGGATTTTTCACGGAAGTTTTTTTTCTTTGTGGGTCTGGGAGATGAAGTGAAGAACGAGCTCAATCTGTTTTAATTTATTTTCTTTCCAAGAAGTGGCACACACTTTTCTTTCTTTTTTTTTTTTCGGTTAAATGGACAGCACCTTTAATTTCCTGAAAGGCGCCGAGGCGCACCTCACTGGCGCCTCTCGCCACGCGAAAAGGCGAGCCGAGGCGACCTGAAGCGAGCGCCTCGCAAACAGGGTCGCCTCAGGCAGTGGCGAGGCAATGTGGCCCTCGCCTCGGTCGCCTCGCCTCGAGGCGTCGCCATTTTAAACTATGCTTGCTGCAGAAGTTTACTGAATAATGCATGTCAAATTAAAAATGATCAATCAGCAACACCATCATCACCATTGTAATTGCTGTTATTTATTGGAATGCTGCATTTTTTGATCATTAAAACTGGCCACTTGTGATACAGGAATTGTTCTGAAAAAGGCTCATGGAATTAAGATGGTTCTTGAGGACAGAAAAGTGTTTCAGATTGTCCTAGCAAGCCCCCTGCAAGGACTTTTACTGTAGCTGCTAAGGATCTTGTGCAAGTGATAGCAAAGGTCTTGTTCATTTCTGTCATACAACAAAATTTTACTTTAATTTTACTTTTATTACTGAAGCCATGTTGGACAGCTAAATCAACAATATACAAATGCTGTTCGTGTTTCTGTAGAAAGTTTTTTTATCACGACTTGTCTAGCAGGATTTTGGAAATTGTGGTTAATTGGCTGTTCTTTACTGAAAATTGTGCATGTTTTTTTTTTTTTTTTNAAATTTTTTTTTTTTTTAATAAAAAAAATTGGGATAGGAAGTGTCAATGTCAGCGGACAGTCTAACAAATGAGCTCCAGAATGAAAGGCAGAAAGAGCTTATGACAGATTCCTGCATATCACAATCTCAGCACGTAAAGGTGGGGGAAGATTTGGAACCTTGGGTCCCTGATGAAAATGATCCTGGTTGTCCGGAATTGGAAAACATATTTGATAACCCTTGGAATAGGTTTGGATTTACGTTGCTTTGCAAATTTATAGATTCGGGAATGATTCTTAGCGTCCATGACCATTATAGATGCTGTATCTGAAACTTTTGTTTTGCTGGTTAATTCATATTGAATTTGCTTCTATTGCAGTTTTAGAGATAATTATGCATAGTTGACACAATAACATGTCTATAAAGTATAAACTATGCATAAGCAATTTTGTGATGCTCAGTTTGTTGAAGAATCATGTTTTCTATGGAGAAGTCCCTAAGTTGATTCTTGTCATCCCCTTTTATATAATTATGTTTCTCATGTGATACTTGTATATGATTAGCAGAGGCTGGGATCAGTTTGAAACGAATGCTACTTTATTTGGAGTTGAGAGCACCTTGAATGAGGAACTTTACACAGCAAATCTTGAGAGTGGCCCTCAGACGAGAGAGTTGGAAATGGAAGCTACACATTTAGCTAGAGAGATTGAGGGTGAAGACACCCTTGATCTTCATTTATTTGAGGTGAGTTTTGAGACTGGGCTATCTTTCTGTCTTTCTTTCTTTTGGGGGTTTCTGGGCCGTTTTCTGCTTCAGTTTTAGTGCTTGCTTTCCGTTTCCTTTACCATGGTGTCGTTATTTTGATAGGAGAAAGTTAATCAATCCGGTGAAAATCTTGAAATCGATGAAGAAACTCAGTTCTCCTCAGTCTCCCGGAAAGTCGATGACAATGGTTGTGGCGAGATTGAGAACATTTTGCTGGATTCTCAAAATGGGGAAACGTTTGGAGATATCTCCAGTACTGTTATTGGCAGATCTCCAATAGACACGATTGTGGGGAAAAACATTGATGGAACTCAAGCATTATCTAGATCTTCAGTGACGGTAGGTGTCTATTGTTTTTGCTTTCCAACTTCTGTTTTCCTTTGATTTTTAAAATGATTTACGATGATTAAGGGGGAGGGTGATTGAAGTAGTTCTAGCAGAAGTGAATGCCTGTAAGAATACAAATAAAATGAATATTTAACCCACAGTATCCAAATACTTTAAATGTTCTTGTCATTATTTTACTCCCGTCTTTGCCACACACATTGTGTTCCTGCCTTATTTTTGTTGAAACTACACACTCCACTTTAATGGGATTCTGCTTAATCACTATAGTTTATTGACGCACCAGTTTTGAAAAACAATTGGAGTTATATTTGGTATCTAGTACCAGAGTGCCACTCTATTGCTGATTTAATGTATTAATATACTTCTTTTGCTTCCTCATCTTTATTGAGATTTTTTTATTTCTCTGATTAGAAGATTTAACGGGTTCGTCTTTCTCTGTTGTTTAGTGTGTGTCGGTTAAGGTAAGTTACTCTGACCAGATCCATGCTTTTCTTGAATCTTCTTAAGACTATTGACATATTGAAATATATGTTGCCTGCTGAAACTTTGGCTTTACCAGATTGTTGATGATGGCATTTAATTCATTTTGCTAAGCAGGAAATGATTGCGTCCTTGATTCCTGACACAAGTGATGACAGTGTTCTCCTATCTGAAGTGGCCGAGAGTAAAAACTCGAATTCTCGCCTCGGTATTGGTGTGAAGCCCAATTTTGCGCTTTTGAATGGGGAAATAGACCTGGACAATCTGTCGGTTAAAGTTCTTCAGGAAACTTTTAAGGCAACCTTCGGAAGAGAAACTTCTGTGAAGGACAAAATGTGGCTCAAAAGGAGGATCATCATGGGTTTGACTAATTCTTGTGATTTCTCAACCACAAATCTTCTACTTATTGACAATAGAGTGGTAAAGAAGGGTAAAGAGGAAACTCGTAAAAATACAGATTGCTCTGTTTCAGTTGATTTTGCTGTTACATCTGAGGTGGAGAGCCGTGAAAGACATACTTGCACTAATAAACAAAATGGGACCAGCACAGTTGCCAATGGGATGCAAACACAAAGTTATTTTCAAGAAAATTGTGAAAGTAAAGATGCTTATCCCGAACTAAGACCTGCGAAAAGAGTTCGTAAGCCTACGAAACGATTTATTGAGGAATTTTCTGAAGAAGAATGCAGGGATTCTGGTGCCAAAATAGTATCATTGGTTAAACATAATAGTAAGCCGTCAGCATATGTTTGTGAGAGACCTGTTCATGATTTTGGACCGAGTAGTAGATGTCTTCTCAGGGAAGATTCACTTGGAGGTTCTGGAATTCAGGTCCCATATGTTTCGCGGATTAGGCGGAGTCGTCCAAGAGAAAATTTTATGCCCCTCTTGGTAATGTGAAGTAATATATCAAGCGTGGTTACACATGAAATCGATAATTTGGAAACTTCTTTTGTATGCACCTATCTGAACACTGTCACCTGATTCTTGGCTTTATGTGCACCCTTCACTTGTTGATTTTTCTGTACCTGATTCTTGGCTTTATGTGCACCCTTCACGTGTTGATTTTTCTGTAGCATTGTATGTGAAAGCTAAGTGAGTCATTGCTTAAGGAAGTTGGTCTCTTCCCCTCACTACCTCACCCCACTACACCTTGGAATAGGAAAA